GATTTTGCTGTTTAATGTCTTCCTTGATACTCCAGATCATCTGAAGCATGTATATCCTGAATTCTTTATCTGACATTCCATCTGCTGCAGCTGTTACCTCTTCTAAAGTTGCGTTGACCTGCATTGCTTGTGGTCCTTTCTTTCCTTGTCTTTTCATACTGCTTGCGTACCTTTCCTGTAGGTGCGGGCGGCGGCTCTGCTCTCTCCTTATTCCAATTGGGGTGTCGTGGCTACCACGCCAGCAGGTCACTGGGCCTGTTCTGGGAGCTGGTGGCGGCTCTGTTCTGCCCCTACTCCAATTGGGGTGACGAGTGTACCACGCCGGCAGGCCACCGGGCCTGATCCGCCGGTCGGTTGCAGGTTTGCCTACCCTGCAGGCGTGGGCGGCAGCTCTACTCTGCCCCTACTCCAAATGGGGTGATGTGTCTGTCGTACCAGCAGGCCACAGGGCCTGTCCCGCTGGTCGGTCGCAGATCTGCCCACCTTTCGGGCACGGGTGGAGGCTCTGCTCTGCCCCTACTCCAATTGGCGTGTCGTGACTACCCCGCCTGCAGGACGCTGGGCCTGTTCCTGGCAAGGGAGGCGACTCTGCTCTGTCACTACTCCAATTAGGGTGGTGTTTGTACCACGCCAGCAGGCTCCTGGGCCTGATCCGCCGGTCTTTTGTAGGTCTGCCTACCTTGAAGGCGCGGGCGGCGGATCTGCCCTGCCCCTCCTACCACGCCTGCGGACCCCTGGGCCTGATCTGCAGGTTGATCACTGGTCTGCTCACCCTGCGGGCACAGGTGGCGGTTCCGCTCCGCCCCCACTCCAATTGGGGTCACGTGACCACCACAACGGCGGGGCCGGATCCGGGCACGGGCGAAGGCCCTGCTCTGCCCCTACTCCAGTTGGGGTGATGTGTGTACCACGCTGGCAGGCCGCTGGGCCTGACCCACCAGTCTGTCGCAGGTCTGCTTACCTTGCAGGCGCGGGCGGCGGCTCTGCCCTGCCCCTCCTACCACGCCCGTGTACCACTGGGTCGCGGGTCTGCCCACCTTGCGGGCGCGGGTGGCGGCTCCGCTCCGCCCCCTCTCCAATTGGGGTCACGCGATCACCACGCCGGCGAGCCACTGGGCTTGCTCCGGGCGCGGGGGGCTGCCTGGCTCCTCTCCTCTGGCTCGACGACAAATCGAGAGAGACTCGGGTGTCTGTGCCTCACCCTCCCTACCAGGAGACCAACTGTTTCTGTCGCTGCTGGTATTGATGAAGTTCTCTCTTCCGCCGCTTTCTGATGACATCAGATCTCTGCCATGTTGGTATCCTATGCGAATGGCAGCATTTCGTTCCCTTTGCCGGGTAACCAAAGCAACGGGTGAGTCCTGACCGGCCCTCAGCAGGACCCGGACCTAGAAGCAGTTTCCTTGGGCTCCTTAGCCCTGGGCCAGGGCAGTTCCGGGAGCCGGAACTCGGCCGCTCCGTGCTCGGTGTATGCTCTGATAAGAGCAGGCTCCAAGAAGCACTCAGGCCCTGAGCCTGAGTAATCTGTCTGCAAGCTGCAGGAGAATGGCAGCCTGAAATTACCTGTTCTATGGCTGAATGAGCTGCGGTCAGTCGAAAACAGGGATGGTGACGTCAGCTCTCCAATAAGGTGGCCGCTGGCCTCCTCTGTGGTCTGACCGGTGTGGAGAACCGAAATGGACCTCTTCCTTTCCCCGTCTCGAACCCAAAATTCAGCACTGAGTACGGTGCTTGCACGGCTGGCAGAAACTGCAGCGCTGTATCCCTTAAAGCCTTTTCTTAATTAACTTTTTCATTCATTTTTAATAAACTAGTAGTAAGTTTATCAGTGAAAATGGAAATCCTAACAATTTCACAATACATTCCTAGTTTACTAACAAACAATGGGCTTTCATTCAGTTGGCCTGTCTTGTGGTTCTATAATAGTTTAATTTTCTTTGGCTTTTTTCTTGGGGGGGGAGGAGCAGAAATTCAGTTTACTTTTGATCTTCTTTTTAAATTTAAAATATATATATATGTGTGTGTGTGTGTGTGTGTGTGTGTGTGTGTGTGTACACAGTTGTTGATAGACTTTTATTTTATTTATTTATGTGTGATGCTGAGAATTTAACCAGTGCCTCACACATGCCAGGCAAGTGTGCTACTGAGCCGCAGCCCCAGCCCTACATTTTATCTTTCAAAATTCTTATTGGCCATGACTAATTCTCCTGCTTGAAAGTAGAAATGTCCACCTTTTCTACAGTGAGCCGGCAGTACTGTTGTTAGTAGGAAAAGCTACTGACAGCGTGTCGTCTAAAACATTTTGCTCATCTGTTCTGAGGGAGTTGCATGGGCTAATAAACTGGAGACTTTTGCCAAGTCTCAGTCCCCACAGGGCTTTGCAAACACACTTGGCTGCCATACCTACCTGAAGCAAAAAGTTTTTATAGCTTTACCGAAAGGTTACATTGAAGGGCATCTATGCTCAAAAGATCATCATTTTGTCTGTACAAAAAAAGCACAAATTAGATCTAACATATATGAACAAAGTAATAACGAAATCATAATCCTGAGATCAGGACTCAAAGGAGGCGGTGGTTCCTGTCACTACTTTAAGCTGGAAGAACATCAGTAACTCAATCCTCCCAAAAGGGGAGAGCAAGAGCAAGTCAAAGAGGCTGAAGAGAGAGAGAGAGAGAGAGAGAGAGAGAGAGACAGACACGGACGGACACTCACAAGTCAGAAGTGGGCTTTTATCTGGGCGGGGGCGGGGGTTGCTGTTTCTTAGAAAGTTCTACCCAAATAAGGCAGAAGGGGAAGGATTACAAGGGACAGGTACCTGAAGCCATGCCTTGGTATCAGAGCTGGGACAATGCCCAAGTCACTATGAAGTGCAGTAGTGGGTCAGAGCCCCCTGTGTCAGGACTGGAAGGCGCGTTTCTTCAGAGCAGCTCCCACATTTAACATGACATCTGGAAAAATCCACCCAGCTAAAGTGTTTTCTTTTCCCTCAATTAATACAATATTACCATATGGCAACTTTACAGCCATAGATTACCTAAAACAGACACACAGAAAAGCAGATATTCTATATAAAATTTAAGGCATACCCAATACATTTTTGGTATAGATAGATGTTCAGTATAAGATTTATCCTTATTTTTAATAATTAAGCCCTCAAATAAATAGAACTGTCTTGAAATATGACACTAATTGGCATATGTAGATACATGAGACTTTTTGATTTATGATGATATTATATCTCAGTGAGCCCATGGTAAATTAAAGATACCCTGAGCCGGAAACACCACCATAAGTCAAAATGCCTCTAACTCACTCGCTCAGCCGTGACCTGTGCTCTGGACACACGTCAGACTACTTGGGCAAAATTGTCTGGGCAAGGCCTATTTTACAGTTGCGTGTGCACACGGGTGGGCATTTCACAGGCCTGACGGGACCTGCCAAAAGGCAGTGGCAGACCATCTGCTGTCTCCCTCGAGGTCAGCTGACTGGCACCCCGGGAGGGTATCCTGCTGCTTGCTGCAGCCCAGGGAAAGAGCAACCCCAAAGGTGAAGGGCAGCTTCTACAGAGTATGTGTGGCTTTCCTGTCTTCCTAGGACAAGAGACCGAACGTTGGGACTACCTGAGAGTGCTTTTCACCCAGGGAACCTTTTCATTTTTAGTGAATTTTAAAGAAGCAACATTTATTATTTGCAGTGTTATAACTTATTAAAAGTAATTTAAAATAACATTCTGGCATTGACGTGAAGTAACTTGGTGAAAGATGTTGTCCATTATTCTGCTAATCTCAATCAATCAAGACTCATAACACCTTCTATGGTCCTTGCACCACACCTAAAGTAGTTTTTAATGATGTGCAAAATCCAATTTCAGTGAGGGCTTTGATATGATACGCTATTTTTTAGAGCTACGCAATACATTCCAGCTTAATTAATATTTCTGTTTCACTTCACGTAAATTAAAAGTTCACTCAGCAATCAAAAGGAAGAGGCTGAAGCAAAAATAAAAAGGACACTTAGCATCGATTAAGAGATGAATCTAGGAACTTATTTTTCATAAAGGCAGCAATGGGGATTCCAAGAGTAGAAATTAAGAAATAATATAACAATCCTCAGTGTTAGCCAAGTTCCCGGACAGCAAGGGAAACCCGAGGCGGTAAATGGAGACAAGTGAACCCAGCCCTCGCTCAGGGCTGCAGCAGTCCCTGCTCCCATTTATCCTTCCCCTTCTGTTGGCTATTGGGGGAAGAGTTTGGTGTTTTGCTGAGTCCCTCACGTCACACATTAATGCCAAATTCGGAATTGAGCGGTGGGCCCCCCAGCTGCATTCCTCCCTCCCTTGAAGACCAGAGCACCAAATTGGGGGAGTCCAGGCGCAGTGGGGTCCAGGTGCCACTAGCAGGCCATCAGGCTCCCCCACATCCAGCTCTCGTCTCGCTGACAGCTGAGGGCACTGCCAGATGGCCACTGCAGGTTCAGCAGGCCCCTCGGGATTCCTGCCACTTTGCCTAAGTGTTGTGACACCCAGCGCCCCTGCCTGAGGGTGCAGGAGAGGAGCATGTCAGGTTGCTCCTGTGGCTCCTGTGGCTCCTACGCCTGGTGTGATGCTGTGACGGCCTCCTGGAGACGTCCTGCAGCCTCTCTCGCATGGCGGGTGGCGGGAGTCACCTCTGGATTTCCCCAAGGTAGCGAGCAGTCCCCTCCCCAGCGCCCCTCCCCGTCCCCACCTTCCTGGCCGCTCTGACCCCAGGGTGCTCTGCTGCTGTCTGGTGCTGGGCAGTGAGTGGTCCCTACCAGGAGGTGTCTGGACTCAGAGTGCAGAGAAGAGTGTGGACCTTGGGATTTCCTAGTCATGTAGTACCCTGACTTTGAGACTTCCCAATGAGACCCCCCACCAAAAAACCCTTAACAAAACAATGATACGGAAAAAAGAAAATACATAAGTAAATGCAAAGTAAAAATATGAAAATAGCAAACAAAGGAGAGCATCTCCCCCTTGTTTAAATGTTTTCCTTTATTCTGTCTCTGACTGTCGTCAGGATATCTTTCTTTGCCCCTGAGTTGTGACAGAGGGCAAGTAGTTTTAGACAGAGTGAAGAAAGGTAGGAAGGCTGCTTCAGTCTTCCCCAGACCTGGCTCGAGGGGAAGGCTGCGCCACCTTGCAGCCTGTGGAACAGCCTGCGGATCTTGATTAAGCTGGCCAGCAGGAAGAGGTCCTCTCCACTCACGTACCACAGTACTGGGATCTCCTCAGGCAGGGCCACCTTCCGAGCAGCAGGGAGAGAAGGAGGGTCAGAGTGCGGAGTGGCGCCGTGGTCACCCCTGAGCCGGACAGTGGTGTCCCTAGGAAAGGGCGGAATGCCCTTTTGGGACCCGCTTGGGGCTGGAGGGCAACCAGCGCTTACCAGTTACTCGAGCATCTTAACCAGGTCACAGAGAAGGGAGCGCAGAGGTGCTGGGGCAGACCTGCTTGGGGAGCGCCCCGGGGCTGTGCCAGGCCGGCCTGGGGGCAGAGGGGGGTCCTGCCCCAGAGAAGGCCGACCTGGGACTGCCCAGCCTCCCTGCCTTCTCGTAATGTGTCCCCATCTCTGCAGGCGGGGACAAGTGAACCTCTCTTTAGCCTGTGTGGCCTCTGCTCTCCCACTCTGGGGCCTCAGCGGGGACTCTAAATGCGGGCAGAAGCTTGTCACCGTGAGCAGAGGGACTGCTTACCTGCAGAAGGCAGGACTGTGGCATCTTTCTGCATTGGCCCTCCCTCCACAGAAAGGAAAGCAGGGAGGAGAGGACGACCGGACAAAGGGGAATGGAGAGGTCCCAACCTCCTGTCCACTGTCCAACCCCCAAACCAGGAAGGCCACTCAGAGGTCACGTTGGGGATGGTTCTGATGAGATCTCGTCCCCAGAGACGATTTTAAGGAATTACTGAAAATCAAAACACAGAGGCGACTCTCTGTAGGGATTCATGGCTGGAGACCCTAACCCAGCACACACACGCCCTGAGCTCTGCCGAGTAAGAGGCAGGGGGACCCTTGAGGATGGGGACCCTCAAGGATGGGGACCCTGGGATGGTCATGGGAGGCGGCCCTCTCCGTGCCCCTCGTGCGGGCCGCTGGTGGCCATGGCTCACGCTGCACCAGGCTCTGTGCAGGTCTCCTGCCCCCAACAGCAGCCCCCTGCTCAGATTGCAGCCGGTGGCAGAGCACGCAGAAAAACAGGTTTCAAAGGCAAAAAGGAGCCTGCAACTGAGAGTCAGCCAGTACGAAGGGCGCTGGTCTAGAGAGAGCAGCTACAGGAGAGAAGGCTGATTCTGAAGGAGCACAGACCAGCACCTGATCTCCACCAGGTCAAAATGAAGACCAGTGGGGAGATTCTGGGGAAGCCCCAACTGGTCTCACAGTGTCCAACAACTAAGAACCAGATGCCCCTCTGGGGACTGATTCTTGCCTGAGTGGACAGGAGAGGCTCAGGGAATATCCACAGAGAAGGGCTTGCAGGCAGTGGCGGAGATGTGCACACAGCTTGTGTCTGTCTACGATGGGCACAGTGCGCATGTGTGCATGGACCCACCGTGCCAAGGAAAGGTGGCAGTGGGCATGTTGCACAGGAGCCAAGGACAGCACAGTCTCCTTTACGCCAAGCTCTTATCTAATGTATATAAGCATATATATAAAATATGTAATTCCCCAGGGATTTGAGAGAATATTATCGTCAAAGAAAGGCACAAATTCTATGAAACCAGGCACAGTGGCTCAGGCCTGTAATCTCAGCAGGCTGAGGCAGGAGGATCGTGAGTTCAAAGCCAGGCCCAGTAATGGCAAGGCCCTAAGCAACTCAGTGAGACCCCGTCTCTAAATAAATACAAAATAGGACTGAGGGCTGGTGGATGCCAAGCACCATCCCTGGCACTCTGCATCCTAATCCTCGCAGTGGCTGTGGATAGGGTCACCTAGCTTATGGAAGAGAGCGTGAAGTTCACTCAGCCAAGCAGCAGCACTGGGGTTTGGAACTCGAGACTGTGGAACTTACAGTCTGTGTCCTTAACCACAGGCACCACTGCCATCCAGGGGTGCACCCTGGGCTGTGCCCTGAGCAAGGCAGCAGGGCAAGAGGAGAATAGTGTGGAGGTCCACCTCAAGAAGCCCACCATCCAAGGGGAAGGGCAGCCCGATCAGCATGGGTGGGCAGAGGCAAGGCCACAGAAAGCCCCAAGAAGGATGTGCTCAGTGCGGGTGAAGGCCCAGGAGGTCTGGTGTGTGTCTCCAGGAGGTGCTTGGTCTTGAGTGCAGCCAGACCAAGTCCCCTGGCCAAGCTCAGGGCTTATGCCATAACAGGGCGAGAAGCAGACAGGAACCCTAAAGCCCAGGCTCCAGCAGCAGGACAGTCACAAGGCTCCAGCTGTGCTCCCTGGACCAGGTCTGACGGAGGGGTTCAGGAGACACAGTGAGGCTGCCTCAGTCCACCTGAGACACTTGCTGTGGCTGTCACTGAGCTCCCTGGCCCCTGGGGGATCAGGCACAGTGCAGCCCACAGTAATGGCACCTAGCACGTTGCTTTACTCTTGGAAGCTGAAACGCTTAGCCCATTTTAGAGATGTGCCTACCTTCACTTTGGTCCCAATGCTGATTCTTGCCTGTTGTCCCATTGCTAGGAAAGTGATGGAAACCTTGTCCTGCTCTAAGATGCGAATTCCAACGTGATGGTTCAGAGCCAGGAAGACAGGCTTGAACGAAACCAAGGGCGAGGACTTCACGGAACGGGACCAATTCCAGACTCTTATTCTATTGCCAGCTTGATCTGAATATTGACCTCCCAGGAGATTGATGAACACCCTGGAAGGAAATCAGAAACCACAGATAGTGACACCACTGTGCAGGGCTGGAATTTGCTTGTCCTGGCCAGAGCACGGGTGATGGGACCTCAGGTCATCCCGGGAGCTGTCCCACTCTGAATGACTTGCCTACTAATCACCAGTTGTGGTCTGATGGTGGGTCCAAAGGGGGGCTGGAGGGGTGAAGATGGAGCAGGGAGGTTTGGTCTAGAGAGAGCGGCTACAGGAGAGAAGGCCGATCCTGAAGGAGCACAGACCAGCACCTGATCTCCACCAGGTCAAAATGAAGACCAGTGGGGAGATTCTGGGTAGCCCCAACTGGTCTCACAGTGCCCAACAACTAAGAGCCAGGTGCCCCTCTGGGACTGATTCTTGCCTGAGTGGACAGGAGAGGCTCAGGGAACACCCAGAGGTCTCTGCAGTGGAGAAGGCAGAGGTGGGCTTCACCTCTCCAGTCTCTGAGCGCCTCACGTTTTACCATGTTACATGTCAGCTTCCCTGTGCTGCCTCAGATCTGGTGGCACTAGTTACCATCTGTCCTACTCAGTCACCTTCTTCCAACCAGGATCACCATCCAAACTAGAGAGCATCTGGGCACTGAGAAAGTTGGCTTAATTGATAATGAATTATTTTTTTTCAAAACTATTATGAACTGCCCATGAGGTCTCCCAAGGCAAGGTAGCTAATGTCTCATATTCCCAGGATTTATAGCTGGTAGTCATCTAACCAAGCACTAATTAAAAACTAAGGTGATTCTCTTGTTTGATATGGAAAGGGGGAGATTTAGTTTTACCTTGAAATGTGAGTGAAAATAATATCTAGCTGAAAATCCCTAGATAAATTAGCCCTTTTACTTTTTAGCAAACATTCTTTGAGTCTTTACCCTGAACAGATATGTTGCTATATAATGGCAAAGATTCAGAGTGTGCCTCGAGGAACTTCCAGCAAGCCACTTGCACAGAAGGGGCTCTGGGAGCACCCAGGACCGCCGCACCCACGGGAGCCCACTCTCAGGCTAGGGGTTCACACAGCCAGAAGGAAGCAGCCACTGTGGTGTGCGTTACTAAAGCACCCCGCTAGAGGTGACACAGAATGACTGCCAATCACATCCAGTGTGCATGGTGGTAATGGATTGGCTGCTTTGGACTGAAAACACAAGTAACTCATCCTGTTCGAGCTTCCTCAAGAACGGGCAGTCTCCAAGTTTCCCAGGTGAGATCGTTATGCCTAGAAATAACTTAAAGAGAAATATTTCTTTCTGAAAAGCTCGGGATGTTAAACTTGTATCTGAAGTTAGAAGCCAGATTTCACTTTGTCAGGCTAAATGAAGTACAAGGATGTCATGAACTGCGTGCTCAGTAGGTCAGCGCAGGGTCAGGGTCCTGGTCCTTCAGGGGACTGCTGGCACGCTCCTCTTCTGGTTGTGCCATCAGATGCTCCTGGTGAGCTGTGGCAGTGCCCGCAGTGACTGTCCCTGAACAGCTGCTTCCACAGATGGGCATCACCCCACCATGAAGCACAGGCTCCTGAGACTGCCCGGGCTCCGGTCCCCAGTCCCTAGAGGGACCACACTGTGTGGTTCACATGTTCTTACTGCGGGTAGAAAGAATGTGACAAGCTTGGTTTTATATAGTTGGTGGAATTTTCCTGCTAAAAAGCTTACGGAATAATATACACCAAAAACAGCTCTGTGCTGGGCATCGTCACCTAAAGACCACTAACTGAGATCATCCTAAAGCCATTCCTGTCCTTTTAAAAAAGTCACAAAATCAAACAGCCAAACTACAGCAAAAGGAACACAGAGGCCTACCAGACATTTCCATTGGGGTGGTAGCAGGAGCTTCTGCCCGAGGAGTCCAGCAGCGCCAGGATGGCAGGGTTCGTGGGCACGTCTTCTTGGACTATACACGTGAAGCCATTTATCTTGTTGGGCACTTGGATGATGGCTAGGTTTCCAGATGGATAGCTGAGATCAGATAAGGTCTGAGTTGTTCTAATGGTCTGTGACTATACTGGGAATAAGTTCAATTTATGAGAGAGCTGTTTAAAATTATAAAGCATTCTGGCATGGGAGTTGCTGTTAATACCAAATGATTTTATGTCTTTTATGTGGATCAAAATATATTTATGAGATGTAAAATTCCTCAACAAAACCATAGCAAACAGAATTTATATATGTAAAATTTATGCACCATGATAAAATGGAGCTTATCCCAGGAAGGCAAGGTTGGTTTAACATCCAAAAAAATCAATCAATGTAATATACACTGCATTAACAGAAAAAAGCAAGAAACACATGAGCATCTCACAGAGGACAGGAAAATACCTTCAATGAACTTCAACACCTTTTCATGATAGCAAGACTCAACAGTCTTCAAATAGAAGGGAACACCTTCCACCTGATAAAGGCACCTATAGAAACACTGCAGCTGAAGTCGTGCTTCACCATGAGATGCTGCTTGCTTTCCCTACGGTCAGAACTAACACGGACCCTGTTGCTCTGCTCCACTTGGTGGTACCAGAGGGTCTGGCCATGGAGAGTTTGGAAAGGAAAAGAAATGAAGGCCCCTAGATTAGAAAGGGAAGTAAAGCTGTGTTTGCAGATGACATGATGTTGTGTACAGAGAACCCAAGGAATCCACACAGTGGAAGGGTCAGCACTGATGAACAAGGTCAGCCGGGTCACAGGCTGCCAGCTCAATACACAAAAATAACTGCACTGCTGTATGTTAGCAGTGAACATTCTGAAAGTGAAATAAAGAAACCCATTCCATTTAGATAGCATCAAAAAGGATAAGGTATGCTGAGGAAAATTCACTTAATGTCAATGCTGGGTCCACACGAAGGCCAGTCATAAGACCAAGAAGACACTGGATGGAGGCTGAATCGTTTTGAAAATCAGACACAGCCTTCAAGAGGGCTAAGAAGAATTAAAATCAGGACATTAAATGACAATAATAAAAGTTGGATAGGTTATATGTACTGATGTAATTGAAATGAAACCTGCTCTTTTTCTCATAGAACCTAGGGAACTAAGACTGCATTAGGACTCCTCTGCTGTGAAAGTCTTGAAAGTTCTGGTTTGTCATTAGGGTTCGGCTAAACGTTTGGGAAATTATGACTAAAAATGATTATCTTTTATAAAGGGAGACTCCTTAGTTCATGAAAAGTCCTCATGAAAAAGAAAACTTTCTCTCAGCAGCTCAGGAGGCTGAGACAAGAGGATCGCGAGTTCAAAGCCAGCCTCAGCAATGGTGAGGTATTAAGCAACTCAGTGAGACCCTGTCTCTAAATAAACCACAAAATAGGGCAGGGATGTGGCTCAGTGGTGGAGTGGCCCTGAGTTCAATCCCTGGTGCCCCCCCCCCACACACACACAAAAGAAAACCTTCCTAGAGATAGCAAGAGGTATTAAGAGGCTTTTATGTCAGAATATCCAGTGGCCTGGCAGTCAGGCACCAGCCTAAGTGGTCGGTGACTTTAGTGTTCCAGGGAACGGATAGAGGATTTGGGCATTAAAAAGTAACCTGCTGCTCATGGGTGTGTAAGCAGCACACATGTTCTGGGGAGCAAGACCCATCAACACTATAAAGTAAGAGGGCAAGAGATGTGGTGAGGCATTTCATTTCCTAGGAACTAAATTCAAGGAAGTAAGTGGCAGGTGTGCACCAGAGTTGTCCCCGCAGCTGTGGAGCATGACTACAAAGTGGCACCCACCTCCCCCGGGGAGCAGGAAGTAGGCTAGAGGAAGCACAGTAGGTCCATGCCATGAGGTTGCATGGTAACAGCAATGGCCTCGCCTCTCCACGTCCTCGCATGTCACTATTCAGGACGTTATTGATCTACAGTTTCAGCAGATTCATACTTATCCCAGTTACAAACTACAATAAGCAGTTGAGGAACTTATTTTAAAGAACTGTATAGGTGCTTATAGATAGAAAAAAGTATAAGAAGATGTATTTTATGTCACCAGTTTTTCTCTGGGAAGTGAAATTTGGGGGGTGATATTTTTTTCTTCATACTTCCCAGTATTTTCTTCATCTTTCTTTCTTTGAGAATGAATTGGCAATCTCTTGTTGATGGAAAGGATACAAGATCTGTGTGGTCCCGTCTGGGAACGAGGTCAGGAACTTGCGGCCGTTCTTGTAGTGCCTCTCTAGGAGCTCGCTGGTCACCACCTGCACTGGGAGAGAGGGTGCCAGGCAGCGCAGCCCTGGTGACAGGCCACTTCCTCACGGCCATGTTGGCCTGCTCTACCCACAGGGGCCACCCCAATGGCCATTCAGAGTATGTCCCTAACCCCACAGTGCAACTTGAGGAGAGCTCTCTGGGGGACTCTGACGTCACGTGTCTATATGAGGTTCTTTCTTGTTACGTCCTACACAAAACCAAAGAAGGCAAAACCAGTCCCCCACGACATCCTTCCACACCCTGATCGTGTGTTGGCTGCACACTTAAAAAGGGTGAGTGTCACTATGACATTTGACTTCATCAGGGGAGAGCAGTTCTGAGAAAGCGACTGCAGCCAGGTGTCCCAAGCTGCAGGCACCACTGGTGGAGAGTGGCCTTCTGACGGAGCCCAGCAACAGTCCCAAGCTCCATCCGCTATTGTAGGTCACACTCCACGTGCAGTGGTCGAACCCACATTTCACCATACAGCGAAGGTTTGGTTTAACTCCATCTATTCCTAACCTTGAATCTTACCAAAATGGATGGAGGAATTCCTAGAGCTAAGCCACGAAACAACTTGTTTTTGCATCAACGTTGCCATTTATTTTAAGAAAGAGTTATCCCATCTGGAACTAAAGTCCATGTTTTCACTTTTTAACATAATGAGACATGGAATGCACCCAGGCAAGCCGTGCATTAACGAGTCATTACAAAGCAATCACCCCCAGTGGCCACCCAGGTCAGGGGACAGAGAGCACAGATCTGCTGCCCCAGACAGCCCACCTCAGTGTCCTCCAGAGCAACACTTTTTTCCAGGATGTGATTGTTATCATTTTATCTATACAGAAGTTTATTTTTCCCCATTTTTGAATTTTACATAAATGGGATCATATATTGTTTATTTGTACTGTCTTGCTTCTGTCAAAATTGTTTCTAAGATTCATACTCATCCCAGTGTTCAGGTGTAGTGCAATGACTATAATCTAGGTATAGTATTCCACTGTATGAATTTATCACTGTTCATTTGTTCTGTTGTTAAAAGAAATATAGGTTATTCTCAGTTATTGGTTATTACAAACAAGGGTCCTAGGGATATTCTTACACATTTTGTTTGTTTGTTTGTTGTTGTTGTTGGTTTTTTTTTTTTTTTTTTTGGTATCAGGGATTGAACCCAGGGGCGCTTTCCACCAAGCTACATTCCCCACTCATTATTATTATTGTTGTTATTATTATTATTATTTTGAGACAGGGTCTCACTGATACTTAGGACCTCACTAAGTTGCTGGGGTTGGCTTTGAACTCTCAATCCTTGTGCCTCAGCCTCCCAAGTCAGATGGGCTTACAGGCATGTGTCACTGTGCCCAGCTTTATTATGCATGTATTTTGATACCCAAAGGTAAAACTGACGGATCCCAAGGTATACCAATCTTCTACTTCACTAGATAACGTCAAAATGATTTCCCGATTCCATTAGAGGCAAATAACAGCCACCGTTGTTCTGTATCTTTTCCAAAAAAAAGATTTTACACTTTTGCTAATATGATTTGCATGTGCTGATCTCTCATTGTGGTTTCAATTTCCATTTCTCCGGTCACAAATGAGGTTGAGCACCTTTTTATATGCTAATTGGTTGGATTTTCTCCTCTAAAAAGTGTTCAAGGTTGGGTATTTTTAGCCCATTTTTCTGTTAAGATTGACCTTTTTCATGTTGATTTACAAAAATTCTTTATACATTTAGGATAGAAGACCTTTTGCTTGTCCTATGTACTTCAAATATTTCTCCGTTCTGGGTTTGTCTTTCAGTTTTAATGTGTTGAATCCTTTTATATCCTGCTTTTAGGTCAGAGGGTTGTTCTTCAATATTTAAAAAATTCCTTGTAGCTTTGCACTTCAATATAGGTCTTGAATCCTCCTGAAACTGGTTTTTACATGTGGGGTGAGATAAGTGGTTCTAATTTCCTTAGTAAAACACATGGATACTAAATTGTTCCAGAACCATAGAATGAAAGATGACCCTTTCCCCATCGTTGGGCAGTGCCATGGCTCTCCTAAGTCAGGTGTCTGTGCATATGTGAGTCTGGTTTTAGACCCTACCTTCTGCCCCAACACCACACTGTGCTAATTGCCATTTTGTAATGGATCTTAATATCAGGTAGAGAGTGTTCTCCTCCCCTCCATCTTCCTGAAGAGTGTCCTGGCAACTCTAGCCTTTCCATATTTCCACACAAATTTTACCGTCAAGTTACCAAGACTGCCCTTTCCCCCATCCACAAATATGCAATCCCATTAGAATTTGATGGAGTTGCATTGCATCACTGAGGGAAGACTGCCATCTTTAAACTATTTCCTGTTCCAACCCATGAACGTGAGGTCTGACCTGTTAGATGTACCAGTCAAGTATTCTGTAGCTTGACTTCTGAACAAGGCTTCAGGACACTGCACAGTTGGCCCTTTGCCTCTGTGGCTCCCACATCCCTGCAGTCACCCAAGTACAGAATCAAATTATTTGGGGGGAAATTGTGACCATACTTAACACATGTAGACTTTTTTCCTTGTCATGATTTGCTGACCAATGTAGCATGAAACCATGGAAACAGCTTTACATTGTGTTAGGTATGACAAGCAACCCAGCTGTGTGTAAGGTTCAAGGAGGGGGTGTGGGTTCTAGGCAGACCCAGCTGAGCACCTCTGATTTGAAATCTGAAACGCTCCACAGTTTGAAGCTTTTTGAGCACCAATATTATGCCACAAGAGGAAACTTCCATAGTGACCTCAGGTGGTGGGTTATGTCAAAATGCAGGTCCACTAGAAATATGATAGAAAATTACCTTTAGGCTATTGTGGTAAAGTATATATAAAAACAAAAGAATTTCATGTTTCTATGTGGTCCAATCCCCAAGGTATCTCATTATATATATGAAAATATTCCAAAAACTTTTTAAAAATCCCAAATCTGAAACACTTCTAGCCTCAAACATTTCAGATAAGGGACATTTAACCTGAACTGTGTGGTAGGGGACTCCAGTATCTCCAGATTTTGCCATCTGCAGGGAATCCTGGAATGTCTTCCCCTAGACATTGAGAAACATCTGTAACTGCATTTGACCTTCCTCCCAGTTCACATTCTATTGTCTTGCGTGTTAATTCTGCACTGCCTTCATTATTGCTGTATCAGCCAACTTTTACATTTATCCATACATACCATGTCCCACTTTCTTTGCTCTTCATTGAATCTCAGGCTGTCTCACTACCACAGAACATTCTTTAGAATTCCTTTAATGAGGAGCTACTCAATTCTGGTTTTTCCAGAAAATGTGCTTCTGGTACGCTGTATTGAGAAATATTTTAGCTGGATATAAAATTCTAGATTGGCTGTTGTTTTCTTTCACATAATGAAACCATTCCACCATCTTCTAACTTCCATGATTGCTTCTGGGAGGTCATCTGCTAGTCTGTTCTTCCTTAACTACTGTAAACTGAACTTATTTTTTCTTCTGCTGATTTTAGGATTTCCTTTTTGTCTTTGGTTTTGTGCAGTTTTACTATAATGTGTCTGGGATATATATATATATATATATATATATATATATATATATATATATATACACACACACATACACACACACACATACACACTGCTTGGGATTCACTGAGCTTCTTAATCTATGGATTGGTCTCTTTTTTTTAATCAGTTCTGAAAAATTATCATTCATCATTTCTTTAACTATTACCTCTGCATAATTATATTTTTCTTACACCCTAAGGCATTTTGATAAGCATAATTTGGGCCTTCCGTTTTAGATATTGCATCCTATACTCTCTTTTGTATCTCTTACCTTTTTTTTCATGGTGAATTTTGATTTTTTTCTTTTTTACCTTTCTTTTAATAATTCTTTCTTCAGTTGTGTATAACCTGTTTTTTATTTAACTCTTATCTCTTAACGCTCTATTTCAGTCATATTTTCTTTTTTTTTTTTGTATTTCAAACCTGCCGTGTAGTTCTCTATTCCCTCCAGGTCTTTGACCTGACCTTTCATTGTCATAAACATATGAAGTTACTTCCGTTTTGGAGATCTTTGCAGTTCTATTATTGAAGGCTGTTCCTCTGCATTTTGGGCTGTGGTATCAGGTTTCTTTTGTTCTTTGTTATTTTTCACTGTCTTCTAGTAACTGAACTTGAAAACTATCTGAGGGTTGAAGGAGTGACCTTCCTCCAGACAGGATTTGGATGTGCTTTTTGTCAGCTCACTGGCACCTCTTAAATTCCATATCATTCAAGAGAAACAAACTTGCTCTCAGTAATTTAATCTCTGAGAATTTATTCTGAGGAACTATACTGATATACAAATACATACAAAACTATTCCAAAAATGCTATTTATAATAGCAAAAAAATGTTAATAACATCTATGTCTAAGATAAAAATTGAATATATGATACAATTACAATCACATTAACAAAAACCTATGCAAGGAAAGAAAAGTCTGGAATGTTGCCAAGAGAACTTTTGAGCAGAGCGAAGACATTCTGCCTCTGTCCTTCGGAGAGGCAGCGCTATCTCCAGGCTCCTGGGACAGGAGATCTGGCTCCAGTGACTTCGAATTTTATTTTAATTGTGCCTGATTTTATCTAGTTGGTTCACCTGTGCAGCACAAGTCTAGAAAACATTGAGATAGTAATAGTGTTTTGGAGACGTGGTCTGGAAGTTTGGGGATTTTCTCCCTCTCATTTTAATTTTCTAAGGGCTCCAGTTTTATTAATGTGGAACCATCATGATTTAAGATAAAAGGCTTTGTCTGAAACATTTTGAAGACAGTGTTTTTTAAAGTCTAGTAGAAGCTGAAATGCCAAATTTGAACCAATTCTTCTTGACAAACAGTTAAATGTGTCAATGTGGCCAAGCTTTAGGAGAGCTTTTATAATTTTAGGTAAAACTAAAATTATAGTAATATATTTAAATAGAAAAAAAAAAGACGATTACCTTTCCACATGCTCTCCTGGAATCACAACAAAGGATGGATATATTAGTGTACTTCAGATAAAAGTCAGATAGCCTTTCTACAATTGGCTTTGGTTTTGGAACATCCACCGAAAGTTGATATGTAATTGTTTTTAAGCGCCTTGGGTCTAATGGGAAAAGAATCACATGAGAGTAATTATATATTTTAAATTTTCTAAGACCATTCTTCTAAAATAAAGTTCCCAGTCCCATTACAGATACACTGATTTATTGAACATTTTTTTCAAGAAGAAAAATGAGGCTCAGTGAGGGGGCACTTTTGTTTAAAAAAAAAAAAAAGAATGTTTCTGTGTTAAAAAAAGAAAAACATGAAGTGGAATTTTCTGGTCCTTATTTTAGTAAGAAACAGTTGAATATGAAGAAACTTTATACAGTATTAAGAATTTAATTACAAAAACATAAATAAGATATGTCTTCTCAGGGTGCCTTTTAAATAGCTCTGAGTGATAGAGAAGTTGCTTGATGCTGCTGGACTGTGGCTCAGCGGTAGCGGCTTGCCTAGCATGTGGGAGGCACTGGGTTCCATTCTTAGCACCACATGCAAATGCATAAAACAAAAACTTTCAAAAGAAAGAAAGAAAGATGGGCTGGGGATGTGGCTCAAGCGGTAGTGCGCTCGCCTGGCATGCGTGCCGCCCGGGTTCGATCCTCAGCACCACATACAAACAAAGATGTTGTGTCCGCCAAATACTAAAATATAAATATTAAAATTCTCCCTCTCTCTCACTCTCTCTTTAAAAAAAAAAAAGAAAGACAGAAATGCACCCCAAACCAGATGGCTTGTAGGGAGAAGGCAGGGTGTAAACTCGGGGCTTGGGTTCTGCCAACGGCGCCCTCCTCCATCCAACAGCCTCTGACAGAGCCCAGGTAGGTGACAGTCTGTTCCTGCCTGAGCTTGAAAACAAGACCTGACTGTGTGCTGCCTAAGACACCAGGAGGTCCTGGATCTCTCTGCAGCCTGTACAAAGGCTCCGCAGATGTCGCTAATTTATTTTAATCAATAACAACAATGAGATGGAGACCAAGAACTCCAAAAGCCAGATGGCCCAAACCTCAGATTTCCTGAGTGATTTTGATGGGTGAAGGCTTTACAGTACTCAAAAATGAAAAAATCTCTATATTACCTTTAAATACACCAGTTTTAGGACTCGGCCCAGCCTCAGAGCTTTCTGATGTTGTGAGCAGGTTTAAAACTTGGAGGTCTCAACTCACCTTCTGGTATGGAACTAGTTTGCTCGGTGTTGGCCAGTATTGCAAGATGCCTGGCGGCCAGCCGCTCCTGTTTCCTACAAAATCAAAACCGTGCTGTGTGAATAGGAGGGGGGGCTGGGGCTCCAGCGCGCACTGGAACTGTCAGCTGCCCAGGTCCCTCCTCACGCTGACCTGGCCTCCGCCCTGTCCCCGGGCAGATTCCTCCCGCAGAGCAGCTCTGAGTCGCCCAGTCATGTAGGGCTGGTAAGTCCAACTTCAACCAGTGAGCTCACTGCGCCTCTGGGAGCTTCTGAACCCCTGATGTCCATCAGGAATAATTATAATAGGTTTTCTTTGGCCAATTTTTAGTTCTTCTCAAGAAGCACATCTTCAAACTTACACATTTTAAAAATCAAAGCAGCTGTTCCGCCTGAGCTCTGGCCCCTGGGCTCCCATTACCTCCTCTGGGCCCTCTCCTTGGCCTTGAGCCGCTCCGCCTCGCTGCCGTGGGCCGCGTGAGGGGCAATCCTGATCAGCTCCGACGCAGCACGTTGGGATTTCTGGTTTTCCTCATAGATGAAGTCGATGAGGTTTTGGAAATGATGGCAACAGGGGGCCTGGAAAGCAAAGAGGTCATTCTCTTCTCCTGAGCCCTTGATGACGGTGATCAGGGAGGAGGAAAGCAGAGCCACCGGGCGGACATGGCAGCCTTGCAGGTTTTCCTTCCTGTTAACAACTTCTCAGGATATAATGCACATCCCACCCCCGTCCCCCAAAAGGCACAGCCCAGCTGGCTTTCAATGTCCTCAGAGTGGAGCACCCATCACCACAGTCACCCCTTCCTCCCAAAGCCAGCAGCCACTCTTCTTGCTATCTCTACTCCCCTGTTTTTCACTGTTGGTATGAGGAACCGTCTGGCCCGTGAGGCCTTACTGGTACTTCTTCCACTTGCCACCATGTTGTCAGGGCCTGTCTGTGTTGAAGCATGTTTCAGGATTTCCTATTTCTATTTCTGGCTAAATAACATTTCATTGGATGGATATACCATATGTCATGTATTCAATCACCAGTTGATGGACCGTTGGGTTGTTTCTACTTTTTGACTATTAAGAAGCATGCCAACTAGGTGCAGTGTGACCCCAGCTACTTAGGAGGCTGAGTCAGGAGAATCTCAAGTTTGAGGCCAGCCTCCACAACTTAGCAGGCCTTGTCTCAAAATAAAAAATGAGAAGGGCTTGGATGTGGCTTAGTGGTAGAGCATGTGTCTAGCATGTGTGAAAGCCTGGGTTCACTCTCCAGCACCACACACACACACACACAAGGGATTGCTGTGAATGTCTATGTGCATGTTTTAGTGTGAACCTAGTTGCCCATTTTCTTAGGTATAACCAGGAACAGAATCACTGTCCTGTGGTGACTGTGGGTTCAACCTCTCGAGGACTGGCCAGACCTCGTTCTGAAGGGGCTGCACTGTTTCCTGCCGCCTGGCCCCCCAGCAGCGTATGTGGGTTCTGGTTTCTCTGTGTCTTGGCCAACGCTTGCTACCCTGGGTCTTTCTACTCAGCTGTCCTGTGAAGTGCTGAGACCTGCACTTCCCCAGCAGCTAACATCCCTGCACAGGGGACAACGCGGAGGAAAAAGGCAGAAGAAAGGACCACATATTCTAAAAACAGGCTTAAGCTGACACCACTTCCTCAGCACGCCTGCCTCAGGACTTACAGATCCTTCCATGTTAGAGGAAATGTCCACGTTGGAGAGGAATGAGTGGAGGTCACTGTCACAGAATTCACACTTGGGGGCAAGATCTTCCTCTTCCTCCTGCAGAGAGAGGGAGAAGAGGAAGTGTGTGCAGGAAACCTGGGGCTCAGAGCAGCGGCAGCGGAGCCCTGCGCAGCCCAGCGGGTGTCCAGGGGCCAGCAGAGAACACGGGTGTGCACACTTACCTGGGAACTCCAGCCAGACACCTGGGGCTCCCAGGAAGACTTGGTGGGGGACTTCCCAGGGGCTGAGATCCCACACCAGTGGGACGGGGCCAGCGAGGTCTGTGTGTTCTAAAAGAGTGACATCTACAGAAGGGCTGATGAGGACTTGGGCCGCGTGCGCGGTGCCTTGGGCGTTGAGTCCCTTGCAGGCAGGGGATTCACAGAGTATGACCTGAGTACACACACCATGCCGGGCGATGGTTTCAGGCACTTGAACAACATGAACTTTTCCACTCAGTGCTGGGTAAGAAAAGCTCGCCATGCACGCCTGGTCACGCTCTCTCCAAGGAGCCTGGGATGGTCTGCCACTGCCCAGCCGTGAGGGGTTAGGGAGATGAGGACGCACTTGAGAGATGGATTAGGGGCTCGGGCGGCTCTGCGAGGGGTGTGTGCACTGTGGCCAGTCGGCTCCCAGAGGCTCCGGGGCAGTCGTCTCGTGGGCCATGGGGGCCATCCTCTGAGACTGGCAAGAATGCCCAGGCAGGCCGGGCGGTGAGGGAGGTCACCAGGGCCGCAGGGGACTCTCCACCGCCCAGAGAAACGTCCATACCCCCAGCCACAGCACTGCCCACAGTGAGCACCACGGCTGCTGCAGGCAGCTCTCAGAGCCAGGGCTTGCAACAGGGACGGTGGCACCGCCAGCCAGGAGCAGGACAGCCATGCGGGCGGCCCCGTGATGACCTGTTCCACAGCAGGGGCTGGCTGGGGACCTCCTCAGTCCACCACCCCTCACCCCTTCGGCTGTGTGTGAAGCAGGGTGCGGTGCTTACAAAGACCAGGAGTGGGACAGAATCACACCCAAGGCGGCTGTGGCAGGGGACCAGGCCCCTGAACTTCCCAGGGTCGAGGCCAGACCTTGCAGGGCTGCCTGAGGAGTGGAGGAGGAGCCCAGGAGGCGGCCCTGTCCAGGTGCCCCTGGAAGAGAGGCCACAGCTGTCCTCACATTCAGGGATTTCAGGGTGACCTCAGCTCAAGTGACTCTGGGTACAAGACTGGTTCCAAATAAAAAGGTGCTCTGTTAGGTGGAGAATCTCAACCCCAGACAGTGTGGGGTGACAGGGGTTTAGGAGCCTGGGTAGATCACGCAGCCAGTGCTCACGGATGTCACTGCTGGGTGACAGTGTGGCATCCCCTTGTTGGTGTGAAATTCAGTGCGTTGTCCAGATGGCTGTGAGAACCCCCTAGGCGCTCACAGAGGGTCTGTCCATCCATCTCTCTGTGGGTCACTGTGCAGGAGTGGTCTCTCTTCTCGTCAGTGAGACAGTCTGCAGCTCTGTGGCTCCAGAAGAGTCCTGCTTCCTGGCCCTTCCTTCACTGCTCTGGTGGAGGGTGGTGCGCTGGCCTGGTGGATCACTGGGGTGGCCTGTGTCTGCCCCACAATCAGGCACTTCACAGACAAACACAGTGGTATTCACTTCTATTTCCAGGCTCTGAGGCCACTGCTGTGGGTGAGATCGTGTCCTCCCAAAAGTGTGTTGAAGTCCCCACACCTGGTGCCTGTGCACAGGGCTCATCTGTCTTCCCGGAGGTGAAGGTGGGGTTGCTGGAGTAGGGTGCAGGCCCACAGAGAACCCAGCGAGGAGGCAGGAAGCGGCCAGGTGCTGCTCCTCCAATGCCACCGTCCCAAGCAGGAGGATCGAGGAAGGATCTTCCTGAAGTGCTGACCCCGGCCAGATCCCGGTCTTAGACCCTGGCCTCCAGAACTGTGAGGCCGTGCTTCTTTCGTTGGAAGTCACTCCCTTTTGCCAGGTGGGGTGGCACACACCTGTAATCCCAGGGGCTCAGGAGGCTGAGACACGAGAATCTTGGGTTCAAAGCCAGCCTCAGCAACTTAGTGAGGCCTTAAGCAACTCTGTGAGACCCTGTCTCAAAAAATAAAAAGACTGGGGATGTGGTTCAGGGGTTAAGTGGGTTCAACCCCTGGCACCAAAAAAACAAAGTCCAGCTGCTCAGTTCCTGGTGCGCTGTGGCAGCAGCCCTGGGGGTGAAGGAGCCTTCCTGGGCACCGTTCCAGGGACAAGCTCCTGCCTTTCTTCACTTTTAGTGTGCTCACTGCCAATTGTGCAGATGATAGTGTGGCTGTTTACGTCACTTTTAACAGTAATAGTCTTAAAATACAAGTTGGAATTACCTTGAAGTAAATGTCTAAGTCGGAATGATCTTTTTTGTATGCCAGAATGGACGGCGGCCCAACGCTGGGCAGTGTTGTCAGGGAAGGCTCAAAGAGCTGTATGAAGTCTTCTTTAAACTGAATTTTAAGAAGAGAGAACAAAGGGAGACTCAGTAAGCTGTTTTTCCAGGGAGAACAGTGCGCTGGTTGGTGTGAGGCCACTTCTTACCTCCAGCTCACACAGCACGCTGAGTTTGGGCTCCTCGGGATTGATCACCCATCTGTCTGCAGGAGCGGAGAGTCAGGAGGGCGGGCCGGGCCTGCGCAGGGGACTCCAGGGGACCCCGCACCCATCCTCCCGGGCCACTGCTTCCATGTTTGCACACACACCCTCACACACACACCTTCACACCCTTAGTCATACCCACACCCTCACACCTATAGTCACATACACACACCCTCACACTCATAGTCACACATCCCCTCACACCCATAGTCACACACCCCTTACACCCATAGTCATACAAACACCTTCACATCCATAGTCACACTGTCACACTCAGTCACCACACACCCTCACACCCAGTCACACATCCCTCACACCCACAGTCACACACACCCTCACACCCATAGTCACACACCCCTCACACTCAGTCACACACCCTCACACCCATAGTCACACACCCCTCACACCCATAGTCACACACACCCTCACACACACCTCACACCCATAGTCACATACCCTCATACACAGTCACACACAAACCCACAGTCACACACCCTCAAACCCATAGTCACACACACACACACACAACCTCACACACACACACCCTCACACCCATAGACCCTCACAGTCACACACACACCCATAGTCACACCCACACCCTCACACCCATAGTCATATACCCACACACACAGTCACACACCCTCACACACAGTCACATACACACCCATAGTCACACACACCCTCACACCCATACACCCTCACACACAGTCACACACACACATCCATAGTCACACACACACACTCTCACACGCCCTTCCTTCTCCTGCCTTCCTGCATCTCTCCGGGGGTGCTTTCTAAGGGGCAGGCACTGTGCAGGTAAGGCCAACCCTCCTGGTGACCTACCTTGTCAGCAGGGGTGACCTAAATGTCCATTACCTCTAATCCTGGAAGCCAGAAGCCCAAAGGCCACTTCCTGTGCTGTAAGGCCTGTCATTGTCCCTTCAAAAGAGAGCACGGTTACCATCAGCCCCCAGGGTGGGAACAGCAGAACGTAACAGAGAACAGGCTCCTTGGGGGACCACAAGCCAGTGACCTGCGCTGCTTATGTTTTGTCCTTTCTCTGGTCTTCCCAGGTAACCGTGTCTAGTAGGGACGACAGAGAGGGCTCACCCCTGTGTGGCACACTCGGACACTCCCTGCTTTCTAGTCCTGGGACACTGCAGGAGTAATGTGTTCCTATTTTTTAGCAGGTGTGGCACGTCCTTCTGCTTCTTGCTTCCCGGAATGCCACCAGTCTCATTAGCCTGTCCCTATGAGGCCTTTCCAGGTAGGAGGGAGCTGGGGGACGTGCAGTCCATACAGTGAGCTCGACCACCAGGGCCCTCTGCGGACCCGAGAGCAGCACCCAGGGAGGGAGGGAAGGTGCCAACCTGCCTGCAATGTGAGCAAGTGTCTCGAAGGTCTAGGGTGGCCAGCACGGGGGTGCAGCCAGGACGGGGGTGCAGAGGGTTAGGGGCGCAGCCAGGACGGGGGTGCAGCCAGGACGGGGGTGCAGCCAGGATGGGGGTGCAGCCAGGATGGGGTGCAGAGGCACAGGGGTGCAGCCAGAATGGGGTGCAGAGGCACAGGGGAGCAGCCAGGACGGGGGTGTGGCCAGGACAGGGTGCAGCCAGGATGCGGGTAGAGAGGCACAGAGGTGCAGCCAGGATGGGGTGCAGCCAGGATGGGGGTAGAGAGGCACAGAGGTGCAGCCAGGATGGGGTGCAGCCAGGATGGGGGTAGAGAGGCATGGGGGGGGCATGGGGTGTGAAGACCCCTGTCCCAGCAGTCCACACAGAGGGACGCTGACAGAGGGAGAGGGCTCAGCGTTGATCTATCTGGGTTGGGGCGAGGGGGAGTATCTGAGCCAAGGTTACCTATGTTCTGAGGCACTTTGTCCCACAGAAACGCCACACAGTGTAAGATATTCATGCACAGAGATTCCCACTAGAGCATAGCTTGCCACAGGGAAGAACTAAACAACAAGCACACACACACAATAAAACAACAAAACCCAGCCTTAAAATATCCAGCAACCTGCTGGGTGTGGTGGTACATGCCTGAAATCCCAGTGACTCTGGAGGCTGAGGCAGGGGGATCATGAATTTGAGGCAATTTAGCAAAAGTTTGTCTCAAAATAAAAGGACTGGGGATGCAGCTCAGTTGTAGAGTGCCTCTGGGTTCCATCCTCAGTACTGGAAGGAAAGAAAAGTCTAGCAACAAGGTTTATCGCCTAAGTAACAAACAGCAGTATTCGAGGAATGCTGTGCCCTGAAGTGGAGAGGTGTTCCGGCTGCACTCCCATCTTAGGCCATCTGGGCTGCCATAGCAAAGCACATGACACAGAAATGTGTCACTGTTGGTTTTGGAGGTCGGGAAGTCCAAGGTCAAGGGCCAGCAGAGTCAGTGCTTGCTGCGGGCCTGTTTCTTGGTTGCTGGTTGGTGCCCCCCAGCTGCCTGCTCACATGGTACAGGAGGGAAGGAAGCTCTTTGGCTTCCCTCCCAACCATGCTGGAGATCAAATCCAGGGTCCCACGTGTGTTAAGCAAGTGCTTCACTGAGTCACACCCCGACCCTCGGGGCCTCTTCTATAAGAGCACTAATCCCATTCAGGAGAACTAAGTGGCTTCCCAAAGGCCTGATCTCCAAACACCACCACACTGGCTTGCACATATGGATTTGGGGAGGATATAATAACCGGCCTCTTCCCCTGACCCTAATGCTCATGCCCTCACATGCAGAATAAAGACAATCCAGCCCACAGCCTGGCCGGCCTTGACTCCGCTGCATGGATGTCACAGTCTAGGCGCAGAGTCTCACCTGAGTGCTACCTGAATACAACCCCTGCAGTGGCCGCCTGCTTGCCAGCTGGGCACCTGGGAAGTCAGATATGCATGTTTCCAAACATGACAGTGGGCTGGCATTGGAAGGATGTCCCCAGTCCAAAAGGGAGAATTGGGAAGGAATAAAGAGTGACAGGTCCCCTGTAAGATGGATGCCCACCAGGGCCAACACTAGGGTCAGGCTTAGGAGCAATCATCTCTGGCTGGACATGAGACAGGCAGCCCCTCTCCACCTCATGTACTCCAGGGGCCTTGATGCAAGCTGGTCAGCTACTGAGAGCACAGGGGCCTTCCTACCCCTCACCCACTCACTCTCTCAGCCTCAGAAACTAGGGAGCTATTAAAGCTGGGACACCCCACCAGGACTCTTCACGACAAACGACAGTTAGGGAAACAGCAGGTCTGGCCTCGACCTGCCATTGCAGGGTGTATGCCCACCTGTGGGCTCTCAACAGGCAGCTGCTCACCTTCTCAGCAGGCAGAACTGGGCAGGTGGTCCCAGACCCAGGCCCCTCCCTCGAGGTTGAGGCACCCACACTGGACCCAAAGAGAACGCTTTAGAGAGGACCAGGAGCCAACTGAAAGCCCTAGAATCCAGCCCGTCCCTGCAGGCAGCCCCTTCCCAACAGAGCTCTCTTCCCGTCCAGGGCCAGTTGTCTCCCTTCTGCCTCAGCTCGTAGTCTCAGGAGTCTTGTCCCCTTGGATGGAGTACACAAGAAACCACCCTGCGGGGGGCAGGTGCCTCCTAGGCCCACTGAGACGGAGCTTCCACCTTCCAGACTCTCTGTGGGAGTGCCTTGCCTCCCACAGTTCTTGGCTAGGGTCAGGAAGCCGAGGTTCCCATAGCTGCGGCCTCTGAGGCCCAGGTGGAGTAGCCACCCCCACTGCCTCTGCGCCCTGCAAGCTGGTGTTCATGAGGACAGCACTGAAGGTTCTACCTATGCCTCCAGAGGTCAGCCACTGGGACCTGCACCACCCCTGCCACCAAAGACACTCCAGGGTGGCTGAAGGGCAGGCAGCAGGGTGTGGAGGGCAAGCCTGGGCCAAGCACCCACTCACTCTGGGCTGTCTCCAGAAGGCCTCAGGACAGGTCTGGGCTCTGCTGTTGAGAAGCTCCACGCTTGGGTGGGAGGCCCCAGCCAAGCTGTCCCCTGTCAAATTTGGCCACCCTCGTTCTCTCTTGAACAAGGTTTCTCATTTTTTTTTTCTCAACATGGATAAGCTGAGATTTTCCTGAATTTTACATTCTGCTTTCCCGTTAACAATTCTGCCCACGTTCGTCCACCCTTCTCACCCTTTAATGGAAGCCCCCCAAGAGGCCAGCGGCTCTTTTAGCACCAGGCTTGGAGATTTCTTGAGCTCGAGTTCGACCTTCACAGAACACTTGGACACAAGCCCAGCTCAGGCAAGTTCTTTCCACTTTTTAACAAGGGTGGCTTTTCCTTCATTGTCCAATGACACCTATTGTGACCACTTAGAAGAACGAGGCTTTCCCTACGAGCTCACTTTCAAAGCCTATCAGAATTAACTGTGTAAGACAAGGGGACAGTGTGCTCACGCTCCCTGCCTCCCGCCCTGGGGTCCTCCTGGCTCTCTCTATGCAGCCTCCCTCTCCCAAAAGGAGGCGCCTGTTGTTCCTTCCACCTGGAACATCTTCCCTCAGAGAGGGACACGGGGCCTTTTCACCTCCTTCAGGTTTTTGTGCAGATGTCTCAGCCCCTATTTCCACAGGAGGCTCCCTGAGTGCCCTGCACATGGGCTCCCACCTGCCTCTCCCGTCCCTCTCCACCTGGTCTTCCTAGTGGGCTGTGTCCTTGCGTGTTTGTGAATTCTTTACCTCAGCATCACCTCCGCCTCCAGCACTTTGGCAGGAGCTGGGGATCGGGGATTGGGTCATCCTGCTCGTAGCCATTTCCCTGTGGTGGGGGCTCAGCCATAGGCAGCTGCTCAGGGGCCTTGGATGAGTAAGTGACCCAACAAGAGATTTGGACATGAAGGTGAAGGGAGAGCCCCCAGGGTCCTCCCGAGGCGAGTCAGGACTTCAGGGTTTACATGGTCTATTTCCCCATAGGTGTGTCATTTCTATGATAAGATGAAGGCATGCATCCAAACCATGGTGACAGACTGTCTCTTGGTGAACAGATGCAACCATTTACTGAATGTAAGTGCCAAGGTGTCTGAATACCTAACCTCACTTTGGTCAAGGAAACAATCGGGTGACGGTGTTATGGTCACTAAGAGATGAAGAACAGACTCTGAGGTGGAGTCACTTGCCAATGTTGCAGTGTGAGTCCTTGCTGCAGAGGGGATTCAAGGCCAGCTGTGGGCCATCCTCACCTGCAGCTTCTCCCACTGAGTCCCACCTCCCAGCAGTCGCAAAGAGACCCAGCTGCTCACCTGTGTCCTTGTCACCAAACATGTCCTGAAGCCAGCTCTCTTCTGTTTGTACCGACGTTGGAACTCCTGGGTACAACCCTTTATAGATACTTCTGAAATCAGATAAGACGTCAGGTATAAGCAGACCTACCTGGTCACTTGGAAGCCGCTGGGAGACGCTGTCCACTGTGGCCCTCCTCGCATCCCTGGAGCCTGACTCTCATTTTATTTGAAATACTTCCCTCCATTCCCAGTCTCTTCCACAGAGCCAGGCGCAGAGTCATTGGGCCCACTCTCTGGAGCGTCTTCCTTCCTAACCCTGCAAGCTTCAAGAGCTGCCTCGTCCCCGTGGACACCAGCACTGCGCTGCAGGAGCATGGCACTGTGTCACTGTGCGGCCGCTGTGGGCATGGAACACTCACTCAGATTTAAGTGAGCACAGAGTGTTCATTTTCAGTAGCTTCAAAACTGCCCAGGCTCCTCTTGCAGGGCTGATGTTGACCCATGAGCTGTAAGGAGCAGGCTCTGCTTCCATGTAGTGGGGTCCAAGGTTGAGCCCCACAGGATGGAGGCAGGGAGGCAGGTGTGCGTGTAGTGGGGTCTGCGGTTGAGCCCCATGGGAGGGAGGCAGGGAGGCCTTGCGCTCCCTACAGTGACTCTTACTGGGGACTACTGTCAATACTCCGTTTGGGTTCCTTGGTCTCTGACTTTCAGTTTTACAAGATAACTTGCTGGGTCTTTGTAAGTACTCAGACAACATTTTCCCAGATAACTCAGCCAGGTTTGGTGTGTGGCCTGTGTACCTTTCCAAGCCAAGTGTCTGTTTCTGGCTTCCTTTTGGTGGCTTGCTCCAGGGCACGGGCATCCAGAGGAGTTCTGTTGTTCACTTCTGAGCTGACTGTGCAAAGCCAGGCAAAGCCCTCCTCTGTGGAGGCCACCTGCGCAGTCTCTGGGGGCATCCTGTTTACCTAGCCTCCCTGAGCAACAGGCTCCGGGGACGTGACAGCCGCAGTGGACAGAGTCCCCAGACGGCAGTGAGCGTGGAGTCTCAGTCACCTTCCAGCCCAACAGTCAGCAACAGCAACAATCATCCACCCAGAGCTCTTCCCCTTCAGTAAGCCAGCTCCCCAGATTGTCCCTGGAGCTCTGCTGAAGATGGGGGACAGAGGACGATGGCAGCACCACTCAGGATTCTCACGATCACAGAACCCAAGCAGCTGCTTGTCCTTGCTTTGTGAGACATGGACATTGAGGCTCGTGGCAGCGAGAGAACTTCCCTCACCCAGAACCTGTTTCTCCACAGGCATCTGCCTCCTGAGTGTGGCCCCATTTCCAACCCCAATAGAGAGAGGGCTGCTGAAATAGGGGTTGAGCCTCAGAGGTTGCTCTTTTAAGATACGTTTCTTTAAAAAAACAAAAGAAAAAACAACAAAACACTCATAATCTCATCAAATTCTCCAGAGAATACTTTGGAAACATGTGATTTTAAAATCAGAGCTTGATGGTGCCACTTAGTAGCAGGTTCCTCCCGACAAGCCCGCGCGTGACATCATTCACAAGATGCCTGTTCCCTCCTGCTACACTCCCTTTCTCATCTGTTTATTTATATCCGAGTGGTTCTTTTCACTTGTACACAGGGTGAGGTTCCCTGTGGTGTATTTATAGATGCACATGACATGATTTTTAAGACTCCATGTGCCTCCTGGTGCCTCCCCAATCCACCCTCAGCCTCTCTCTTGGCCCGTCAGGGACCTTCCCTTTATGATGCCGCCTCCTTCCTCCTCCTCTCCTTTATTTTACTCTAGCTGCCTTCCACATGAGACGAAACATTCGACCTTCGAATTTCTGAGTTTGGCTTATTTCATGTAGCATGATACTCTCTGCTTTCATCCTTTACCAGCAATTTTTTTATTTTTTAATGGCTGAGTAGAAGATATATATAATCACAATTTCTTAATCCATTCCTCTGCTGACAGGCGTCTGGGTTGATTCCATGATTTAGCTATTGTAAGCTGAGCTGCTATAAGCATCGAGGTGGCTGGGCTGTTGTAGTATGCTGATTTTAGGTCTTTTGGGAAGGGACAACTGGGTCATATGGTGGTTCCATCCCCAGGTTTTTCCCCAGGCGGGTTGCACTAGTCTGCAGTCCCACCAACCAGGTACAAGTGCAGCTGTCCCCACCCCCAACCTCACCAGCATTTACTGTTATCTGTGTTCTTGAAGGCTGTCCTTCTGACTGGAGTGAGATGACATCTCAGTGTAGTGTCCACCTGCATTTCCCTGATTGCTAGGGATGTGGGACATTTTTTTCATATATTTGTTTGGCCATTCCTGTTTCTTCTTTTCTGAAGTTTCTATTTAGTTCTTTAGCCCATTTCTTGATTGGGTTATTTCTTTTGGGTGTTCAGTGTTTTGAGTTCTTTATATATTCTGGATATCAATCCCCTGAGTAATAACTGGCTAAGATTGTCTCCCATTCTGTAGGCTCTCTCTTCATGCTCTTAATTATTTCCTTTGCTGTGCAGGAGTTTTTAGTTTGATGGCATCCCATATCTTGATTCTTGGTTTTATTTCTTGCACTTTGGGTGTCTTGTTAAGGAAGTCTGTGCCTGCACCTATGTGATGGAGTGTTGACCCTACGTTTTCTTCTGGCAGTTGCAAAATTTCTGGTCTAATTCCTGTCTTTGATCTATTTTAATTTGAGTTTTATGAAGGGTGAGAGATAGGAGTCTAGTTTTATTTTTCTACCTATAGCTATCTAGTTTTCCCAGAACCATTTGTTAAAAGGCCATCTTTTCTCCAAGATATATTTTTGGCACCTTTGTCAAATGTCAGGTGGCTATAGGTTTGTGGGTTTGTCTCTGTGTCTTTTATCCCATTCCATTTGTCTTCTTGTCTGTTTTGGTAACAACACCCTTCTGTTCAGTTGCTACAGGTCTGCAGTATCATTTCAGATCAGGTATTGCGATGCCTCTGGCTTTACTTTTCTTGCTTAACATTGCTTTGTCTATTCTGGGTTTCTTATTTTTCCATATGAATTTAAGAATTGCTTTTATTCCAGTTCTGTTAAGTATGCCATTGGTATTTTGATGGGGATTGCTTTGAATCTGTATATTGCTTTTGGTAGCATGGCCATTTTGACAATATTTGATTCTGCCTATCCAAGAACATGGAGTGACTTTTTGTCTTCTAAGGTCTTCATTGTAAAGCACTTTTCCTCCTTGGTTAGATTAAATTGTTTTGTTTAGGTTATTGTGAATGGGATGACTTTTCTGATTTCTTCCTCAGCTGAATCACTGTTAGAGTATAAGAAAGCTATTGATCTTATATTCTGCTATTTTGCTGAATTCATTTATAAGCTCTAGGCATCTTCTGGTGAAGTTTTTTTTTTTTTTTTTTTTTGGTCTTCTAGATATAGAATCATGTCATCAGCAAACAGAGATAGTTTGATTTCTTCTGGAAAAAATATTTTAAAGCATCTGGAAGAGAAGGTCATGCAATTTATGAGGAGAAATTGAAATTCTGACCTAGGAAAGAGAGATGCTCATGGACTTGAAATGATGTCACAGGACTCCCAAGTCAAGATGACAGCTGAGGACACACTTCTCGTTCCCTCCCAAGATTTTACCAAAATAACAGATACTTCAAACAACCCCCCTCCCTGGAAAAACAAGGTATTTTTGGTAGATAACTAATATGGAAGAAGTACTTAAGAGAAAGGCAGTAAGTGGCTACAGAGTGACGGAAACCACAACAGAGAATCCTGCAGCTCAAGACTAGTGATGAAGGGTCTTTCCAGAGGCAATAGGAAGCCTCCAGCTCAACTCAACCAAACCAGAGCAGAGGGGTCTGGCAGCCATCAGAGCAGTCTAAGGAGTGACCCTGGAGCCCCTGTCCAGGCAGGCCCCTTCCTCCCTCTGCAGCAGGGCAGCTGGCAGCCCTTATTTTCAGAGGAACCCAAGAGCAACTTTCTGAAATACTGAGCAGTCTCCTGGGGAGGTGTTAGCCCTGGAAGAGAAGGTCATGCAGGACATGCCCCACAGGCTCAGGGAAAGAAGGACTTCAACCAGAAAGTGAGCGTTCTTGTCCTAACTCTAGCAATGGTGGGGCTCCTCAGCCTGACTGCTTTCTTCCCAGACACTCCACCCTGAATGGGGCTCTGACGTGCTCCACCCAGCTGCCCAGGGGCTCCTGTGAGGGGACAGAACCGCCCAGCTGCAGGAGGAGTCCTTTCAGCCACCTCCCAGTCATTCCAGTACACAGATAATCAGGATTGCCAGTGATTCAAGGACTAGCCATGAGGTGAAGGACAACTGACCCTGAGAAGACAGGGGAAATGCACAGAATAAAGGAGCACTTTACTACACTGCAATAGCGCCCTTTGAGAGATCAAAAAAACTATCGTGAATGCCAACAATCAGAGAACAACTGGTTCTCAGAAATGAAAAATATGAATCACAAAATTAAAAAATTCTGCACAAGGGCTATATAGTAGCATGTAAACATCAAAAATCTTGAAAATGTGAAGGAAAGGCAGGGAAGATGGAGGAGCTATGGTCGACATCCTGCAGGAGCTCTGAGGGGAAGAAGACAGACGGGGAGCAGATCACGGACGGTCAGCAGGGTTTGAGAATCAGCAACTCTGTACCAAGAGGGAAGGAGGCAGTATCCTCAGCTCTGAGGGAGAGCAGTTTAAAGCGATTCTTTTCTGCTAAGATGTATCATTAGTAAATAAAGTAAAAGGGCAAAATGAAGACACTTCCAGGCAGGCAGGAACTCAGAAATTCGACTACCCAGGAGACCTACACAAAAAAGTCACCTGAGAAATCTCTCCAGCAAAGGAAATGGAGTAAAAGAAAGAAAGTAAGATGGGAATCAAGAAAAGGTGGCAGTTGAGCCCAACACAGAAAAACTGAAGGTAAATAACTTCATTACATGCAGGAGCATGCCTTAGGAGGCTGAAGCAGGAGGATCCCAAGTTCAAGGCCAGCCTCAGCAACTTAGCAAGACCCTATCTTAAATAAAAAAATTAAAAAGGGCTGGGAATATGGCTCAGTGGTTAAGTGCCCTCAGGCTCAATCAACAGCATCCAAAAGAAAACAGCAAAACAAAGATAAACTGGAAACAACTGAGTTGAGAATTTCACTTTTCAAGTTGGTACACAGCAAAGAAAACAAAGATGTGAAGAGAGAGCCTTACAAAATAGCAGAATGCCTTGCTAGGGACTCTGCTGACAGAGGGCTATTATCTGAAATATATAAGGAATTAAAAAAACCCAACTTAACACATGGACATAGGAATTAAACAGACACTTCTCAAAAGAAAAAAATACAGATGGCCAAAAAATATATGAAAAGGTGTTCAACATCAGTTAACAATTAGGGAAATACAGATCAACACTACACTGAGAGCTCATCTCACCACAGTCAGAATGGCAGTCATCAAGAATACAAATAACAGGGCTGGGCTGGGGCTCAATGGTACAGCACTTGCCTGGCATGCGTGAAGCACTGGGTTCGATCCTCAGCACCACATAAAAAATAAAATAAAAGTATAAAAAATCATATAATACTTAAAAAATAAATAATAATAAATGCTGCAGAAGATGAGGAGAAAAAGGAAGACCTTTACACTGGTTGGTGGGATTATAAATTAGTACAACCACTGTGGAAATCAACATGGAGGTTCCTCCAAAGACTAAGCATGGAACCCCCATATGACTCAGCTATAGCATCCCTTGGAGTTTATCCTAAAAGATTAATGTCATCGTGCTACAGTGACACACGCACACCAACGCACACCCACATGCACAGCAGCCAAAACATGAAACCAGCCCAGGTGCCCATCAGTGGATGAATGGATGAAGAAAATATGTATATACGCAATGGAGTTTTACTCAGCCATAAAGAAAAATGAAACTATGTCATTTGCAGGAAAATGGATGGAACTTGAGACATTATGTTGAAAAAGCCAAACTCAAAGGGTCAAGGTTGTGTATTTTCTCTCATATGTGGAAGCTAGAGAAGAAAAAGGAAAAGAAAAATGGTCGTGGGGAAAGTTTCATGAAATATTTATTATTATAAAGGGAAATCAGTAGAATGGAGGAAAGGACACCCCTATCCCCGCTTTGGGGTAAGAGGAGAGGAGGGAGGGGCAAGTGCAAGGAGTGATATTGGCCAGATTATCTTGTTATGTTGTGTGCATGCATGAACACGTCACAGCAGATTCCACCATTATGTACTACTGCAATGCACTAACAAAGAAAAGAGAAAGAAATCTTCCCTTTTTAGGAGACAAGTTGCATAGACATAGGATCACATTTCCTTGTGCACGGTTATAATCACTTTGCTTTCTAAATATGAAATTGAATATTGTTCATTTCTTTTTTTCTTTTCACTTATTATTTATTTATTGGTACTGGGGATTGAACCCAGAGGTACTCTACTGTTGAGCTCCATCCCAAGCCCTTTATTTATTTATTTATTTTTTTTTGAGACAGGATCTCATGAAATTGCTGAGGTGAGCCCCAAACTTGTGATCCTGGGATCACTGGTCACTGGGATTACAGGTGTGTGCCACCAAGCCTAGTTATTCATTGGTTTTCAATTTTTGAATAAAGGTGTTCCCCAAAACTCTAAGGGTTAATTGTAATTAACAAAACATAATAAAGCAATACAATTTCAAAGTAATATAATTTTATATAAATTTGTAATTTAATATAATCTGTTATATAATATTTAACTTGTTAATTAGAAGAAAAGAAGTGAGAGATGGGAGGGAAACAGAAATTCATTAATGATCTAATTTTTATAATAGTCAATAGATATGAAACTGATTAAATAATAGAAATTTAAATACTTAAAAGTCCTAAGTGCTAAAAAACTAAAAATAATATAAGTGCTGAACATGGAGAGGGAGGAAGCCAATAGTTATATCAGAAATTGATAAATCAGCTGGGCACATTGGTGCACACCTATAATCCCAGCATCTTGGGAGGCTGAGGCATGAGGATTGCAAGTTCAAAGCCAGCCTCAGTAAAAATGAGGTGCTAAGCAACTCAGTAAGACCCTATCTCTAAATAAAATACAAAACAGGGCTGGAGATGTCTGTCGTTCAGTGGTCAAGTGCTCCTGAGTTTAATACCTGGTTATCCCCACCACCACCACCAAAAAAATAAATTGATAAATTAAGGAATAAAAATGTTATTCAAAATTGTAACTGAAACAAAACTGCAACTGTTAATAGTATGTTAACTCTGAGGAGTGGAACTGGGGTGGAAAGGGTGTCGAGAGGCTCAATTTTGTTTCTTTGTGTACTTTTTTTTTTGGTATGGTACTAGGGATTGAACCCACAGGTGCTTAACAACTGAGCCATATCCCAGCCCTTTTAATGTTTTATTTTGAGACAGGATCTCAGTAAGTTGCTTAGCACCTTCCAGAGTTGCTGAGACTGGCCTCAAACTTGTGATCCTCCTGCCTCAGCCTTCTGAGTCAGTGGGATTACAGAAGTACACCATGGGACCCAGTTTATGCTTTAATTTCTTAACCAGGCACATATTATCTTTCATTTAAAAACTGAACTAAAAGGATAAGTAAAAACACATAGTGGGACAGAACAATTCTCCTTACACTTAAGAATTTCAAGGCTGCTTAATGAAAGTGAAGCTCAGGTGAGCAGTAGTTGAAGACTTTGGCCTCAGTGCCGCATTTTATGGATTTAGGATTTAGATGTCCCAAAGATGTTTCCCTGTGTTCCTATTATAGTTAAATCACTGTGAGTCTAAGAGAGAAAGAGAACAAGCGAGGCCATAAACTCCACTTTCTTCCACCAAAGATGTCCCTGGTCACTCTTGCCTCTAAGAGAGAGGGGTGGGGGGGATCGATCTATGGATGTTCTAAGTTTCAAAGTACTTACTCTTGAACATATGACATATTTACTTTGTTGACAATGGCAAATGAACATGGCATCTCTAGGGATAGGTAATAGGCTGCAGATAGGCGGGGACTGTCTCTCTCTCTTTAAAAGTGTCTAATATTACAGATTAAAAGAAAGAAGTTTTGAATAAATAAGTTGTAAGTGTCTTGGATTATTTTATTCTACTTAACCTGTTTATCCAAAAGGTAAACATTATTGACTTAAAAAATATGAAAATTGAAAACATTTTCTTACCTATCTATATTTCTTTCACTCGTCTCTTTCTTAAATGTTTCAAATATTTTAGGAAAACCTGTTGAACGAAACACTTAAAAATTTAGCCATTCTCTAAATCAGTGGTTCTTGAAAGGGCAATTTTACTCTCCCCCTCGGAGGTGGGGAGGTGGCAGTATCTGGGCCCTTCCAAGCAAGGGCAGGGGTGGACCAGGAACATCCGGGAACTCTGGACTGGTCCAGCAAAGCACCCCAGGCCAAAGGCCAAGTTTGGGGTTTGCAAACCCTGCTCTAACTGCTTTGCTTCTGTCAAAGGCAATGCCTGGAGGGGCTCGGGTTCAGGAAGAGAGGCCCCAGGGCTATTCATCCTGAGCTACAGTCCCCACCGCTGCGTCTGTGGCCCAGGGTGAGCCGGCTGGCTGTGTGGACCGCTGCTTGGACTTGAAAGCAGAGTGGTTGGGGAGGAGGCTGAGGCCCCCGTGAGCCAGGGGCAGTGGCAGAGCCAGGGACAAGGGCAAGGGAGGCCCAGGGCTAGGGACAAGGGCCCGACCAGGGGGAGGCTAGGGACAGAGGCAGGGGCTGGAACAGGGCCAGGGCCAAGGGCAGGAACCACCCAGGGGCAGGACTAGGGCCAGGTGCAGGAGTGGCCCAGGGCTAGGGGCAGAGGCAGGGGCAGGGCAAGGCCAGGGGTGGCTTAGGGACAGAGGCTGGGGCAGGGCCAGGCTAATGCGGGGGCTAGGGCTAGGGCTGGGTCAGGGCCAGGGCCAGGGCCAGGGCCAGGGCCAGGGGCGGCCCAGGAACAGAGGCAGGGGCGGTCCAGGGCCTGGGCAGGGCCAGGACAGGGCCAGGGTAGGGCCGGGGTTGGGACAGGGTTAGGGCCAAGGGTCCGGGCAGGACCAGGGCAGTGCTAGGGCTGGGGCAGGGCCAGGGCCAGGGCCAGGGGTTTGGGGCAGGGTCGGGGCAGGACTGGACAGGGGCAGGGCAGGGCGGCCCGGGCGTTACTTTTCCTGGAGGAGGCACTGGAGAGCGTGATCTGGCTCGGCGTCCGGACCTCGCTGGGCGGCGTCGGGGTGTGGGGGGACCGCGGGCTCTCAGAGGTGCTCGACTGCTGGGTGAGAGTGGACGTGGAGTCCAGGCTGGGGCTGACCACGCTGGCCAGACGGGGGCGCGAGGCCAGGAAGCCGTCATCGCTGTCAAGGAGGTGCACGACCTTCCAGAGGTCCTCGTCGCAGAACTCGGAGGACTTGCCCTTGTCTCCCCGCTGCTCCTCTTCCCCCTCCTCCCCCTCCTCCCGCTCCTCCTCCTCCTCCTCCTCCTCCTCCTCCTCCCATTCCTCCTCCCCCTGCTCCTCCTCCTCCGGCTGCTTCTCCTCCGCCGAGGCCCTCTTGGACCCCGGATCCTTCTTCGTCTTTCGCTGTCCGCGACGCGAGCGCAAGTCGGCCATGTCGCGTTGGGGATGGGACCGCGGTGGCCGCCTCGGGCGGGTGGCGTTGCTGTGCGCGTCGCCCGGGCAACGGCCGCGCTGTCCGCGAGCCCGCGGCTGGAAGTGGCAGGACCGCAGCGCGGTGGTGGCGCGGCGGTGACACGGCGGTGACCCCGCGCGGTCCTTCGCGCCCGCCGCGGCGGCCTCCATACTTCATTTTATTTTGCGGAGGGTGGCGGAGGTGGCGTCCGCCGGGGGCGCGCGTGAGGCCCCGGGTGTCGCCCGCTGCGTGGGTTGCCCCGTAGCCAGATGCAGGGGGGAAAGTCCAGTGAAACCCTGCTCACAAGACAGGGACCGGCCCTCGGGCTGCAGTTTGCGCATTGGATATTTTAAAATAGTGCCTGAAATATTAGGTTGATTGGTGAGATTTTTGGCGTCCCTTATATTTTGCAGAGAACTTCTCGTGCTTACGGCCGGTGCCTATCCATCCTGGCGGTGGAGAAGGCCCCAGGCGGCTGGACAGCCAGCACCACCTCGGCCTCTGCGTCCCCAGGTGTAAACTGGGAACACTGATGTGCCCAGGATGCCTGTGGCTATTAAGGGATGCAGAGTGGTCTGTGACCTTCAGCCTTTCCGCCCGAGCCCCGGGAACACAGGTGCAGCCCTGCGGGTGCTGGAGACCCTGTGGGAGGACTTAGGCTTTGTGCGGAGGACTTAGGCTTTGTGCGAAGGTTTGGGAGTCCTCTAAGGCTGCAGGACTCTGCCCCAAAGCAGGCGCATCCATTTAGTGGGCACAGTTTGTATGTAGGCAAAACTACAAAGGGTCTGTGTTTTGTTCCCTTTTATCATGGCATAAGGGTAGCCTTATCTGTGCTGTGACTCCTTGAGCAGGCTCCTGTGCCACAGAACAAATGGGCTGCTTGCGGAATGCAGCAGTCTGCCATGACGCCATGACACTGAGCCCCAGCTGTGACAACACGTGGGGCTTCCAGCCAGGGCCTTCCCACCCAGGGGATGGGGCGCTAAGAAAGCTATTGAGGGATAGGGACGTCAGGTGTCTGGCGCTCTGAGCAATGTCAAGCCTTACCAGGCCCTGCCCTGATCCAGGCCTCCAGGTCCTTGGCATGCATGGCCCGGAGAGCCACCCCTGTCCCCACTAAGGGCGGGCACCTGAGCATCTGGTAGGAGCCCAGAAAGCCATCAGCTGCAGGGCAGGAGGCAGGTGAGGGGCACCAGCTGCCCTGTGCTCCAAGGGCAGAGAGAAAACACACAATATTTGTGAAAGAAGAGGCCTTTCAGCTAGTGGGGCAGTTGGGACGTTTGGGAAGGAGGGGAACCTGGGTGACTGCAGAGTGGGACCCCCAGGGAGCAGGGTGCCCAGGGTGCAGGGGGGGCAGGTGGGAGTTGAGAGACAGAAAGGCAAAGCCTGCCTCTGCCCCCCCCCAACCTGCCTCCCCCCACAGCACCTGGTGTTGGCAGATCTTCAAGGTCACGAAGTGCAGCCACCCCTTTCACACAGAGCAAGTGACTTGCTCAGGAGAAGGCACGTGTTTCTGTTCCCTGGGTGCCCCGAGAGCAGGCTGGGGGTCAGGCGTGGGAGGGGGCCCGGAGAGAGCGAGGGTAGTGTCAGCTGCCCTCCCTGGCTGGGCCCTGTAACTGCCACAGCATTTTCTTGATTGCATGGTGCATTGAATTTTTCAAGTACTCCTTGTTTAGAGCTGTTGTTCAGATCTTTAAAGTCTTAGGGGATCTTTTTCCCTTGGGCCCACATAATCCACAAAGAACTGTCTTATTTCCCCATAGGAGGCGGTGCTCTCCTGTTTTGGCCTTTCTGAGACAGTGCTGTGCAAAGCAGGGCCACTTTGTATTCCCCCAGGATTTGAGAGCCAGACCCACCCTTTGACTCCCAATATCACTGAGATTATTAAATCTCAGCTCCTTGATATGTAAAATGAAGTATCAGTCATCACCTTTCCATTTATTCCACAGGGATATTTTGAGATAAAATTTAATTAGTATTTTAAGTTTCTTTTTGAGAACTGATCATGTATTTTTTAGGAACACTTAATTCTGTTTAGAAAATACCATCAGCTGAGAAACCAGCTTCTACCTCAGAGCAAAGCCTGTCCAAGGAAGGAGGCGTGACCCTTGTCCTTGGAAAACCCCACAGAGCCTTTCTAGGCAGATAACCACCCTGCTGAGTTGTTTGTCTGCAAATAAGGAGAGGTCTGTGGCGCCAGGTGTCCCTGACTCAGTTAGGCTAGGTGAAGACCCATTACAACCCCCTAGCAACCACCAATCAGCATGAGACAGGGAAAATACCTGGGATGCCAGATGACCCCGCAGTAGTTTATGGTGGTTTGATAACATGTTGGGAAACCATGTAGTTTAGCACGTACACCCCTCGTGGCCTAAACCAATCAGTTCTTGTACTAACCAATCACCCCTACCCAACTTGTTCCCGCCAGTGAATGTGCTAATCAATGTTAAGAGTTTTGTTTGACTTTCTCAGGGTATGGAATGATTTGCTGTGTGATGTTGTGACACATAGAGTATCCCCCCCAAACCTATAAAATCTCACTGGACAAAGGACTGGGACTCACTCCTTGGGACCGCTGCGTCGGAAACAGTTGTGAGTCCAGGCTCGAGCTTGCAATAAAGACTCTTGTGTGACTGCATAGGATTCGGCTCCTGGAGGTCTATTGGGGTCCCATGAATCTGGCATTACACAGCTTCTATAATCTGTAAAATATTGTCTTGGGTGCTTCAGACATTTCCTGAAGGAAAGGAGAGAGCTGGATTTTTTTTTAAAGACAGTTTTCCTACTGTAAGCATAAAGCATTATGTAATGGTCTCTACTGCATCATGTGCTGTTTACCATGCTCCCTTAAGGTTCCCACGATCCCACTGCTTTGGCAAAGTAAGAGGGTGAATTTTTGTTCAGTGTAAATGTCTTACATTTGCAGGATGTTCTGGAAGCTTTCTGGCAGGTGCCTGAGGCTTGTCCCTGCAGGAAGCACAGTGTGTCCTCCGAGTACTTTCGTTAAGCCTTGCTCTGATGCACCGCGGAAGACCATCAGCGGAGCTCCGTGGCCTCGATGATCGCTAATTAAGGCTGTGCCTGGCTGGGCCAGCTGTGGGGGGCATCTTCCTAAAGTCAGGACCCCCTCCTCACTAGCTCCTTGCAGAGGTTGCTTTCCAAAACCCATTTATGCCTCTTAGTTAGCAGTGACATCCACTTTATCTTCGTCCTCAAAACTTTTTGTGAGACTGTCAGAGGGTTGGTGGGGAAAGGTGGTGGGGCACAGTCTCCTTCCTCAAGGCCAAGGCCCTGGTCTTCCTGCTCCCGCTCCCTGACTTCACAGCCTCTCCCTTGCCCCTTTGGCCAACCCCTTTCCATCTCTAAGCCCAGCCCTGTGTGTCACCTCTGGATGGTTCTGCAGTCACACAGGTGATGTCCTTTATTCTGGAGGAGATCCACACTGCAGGACTCTTCACCCTCCCCCCAGGACTTTGCATTCATTGGATTCAGCACATGGAGTTTGTTCACCTGAAAGATGACCCCTGAGCGAGTGCTGTCCAGCAGGCACTGTTCCTGGCTCCGGGGAGACAGCAGAAAACCAGGTCCCTGCCTTGTGGGGTCAGAAGGTCCTAAGAGCTAAGGAGGAAAGAGATGAGGGTGAGAGAAGGTGCAGAGCCCTGGGCAGAGGGGTTCTGTAGGGGGCCGCTGCAGACCTCCCTAGGAGGCTAACTTGAGAGCCAGCCCTGAAGGAAGGGGGAGCTGGCTTCAAAGTGCTGGCGGAGTGTCCTTGGACAGAGGAGCCTGCGCTGACCCAGGGGCAGTGCTCAGTGCAGTGGGCTGAGACTCCTCCTGAGACAGCCCTGGGGAAGGCTGGTGTGACCCTCAGCTGGCCTCTGCCAGCTTCAGCTGGCCTGTGAGACTCCTGCCTGCAGCAAGCCCCTCAGGAGAGGGTGGGAGCAAAGGCTTCACAGTGAGGGGCCTGGTAGACGGTTCTGGGCACACATGTCCAAAGTGCAGCCCCCAGGGCTCTTGGGAGTACAGAGACTGAGAAGGTAGGCCCCTGCCCTGGGGAGCAGAGGGGAAGGGAGAGAGGACCAGTAACCACCAGGAGATGAACTGGAGCTTGGTGATATGACAGCCGGTGGGGAATGAGAAAAGGAGAGTCAGAAGACACCAGGAAGGACTTAGCTGTTACCAGTATTACCTGGTGAGATCACTTCCAGCCCAGAGTCCCTGTCATTAAGCAGTAACACAGACTCACTTAAGTTATGTTAATTTTTCATTTGGTTAAAAAGTTCTTCAACAAATGATTGCTTCCATGTTTTAGACTTGGGGAGATTCCAAGAATGAGGCCAACAAGGCTTATCTTCTCTATTTTGGAAGGAGCTCCAGGAAGGGGTTAGTCTTCACGACGATGGAGGTGCTGTTGGAGCCCCTGAGTTTGGCCTCACGTTTCACTGTAGCAGTGTGTTAAAGCAGTAGCAGGAGCCCAGCCTGTCCCCACCTCAGGTCTGGGGCTCTGGCCATACCTCAGAGCTGTGCAGATTCCGCTGGGAGGGTTCCTCCTCAGGCGGAGCTCAACACAAACGTCACCTCTTCCTAGGAAGCTGCCTTCAGCTCTCCACCACGTCACCTGCAGTTTTTCAGTTTTTCTCCAATGCCCCTTCAGAGCTCCAAGAGGAATCAGTGTTGCTGACAAGCTGACCTTAGCCTCAGAAGACTCAGATTTCTGACCATAGAAAGGGGAACTGTCAAGGGAGTGTATTAGTCACCTCAGGCTGCTATAACAAAATGCCACAGACTGTATGGCTTAAAGAACATTGATTTCCTCTCAGTTCTGGAGGCTACAAGTCCATGGTCAAGGAGCCAGCAAATTTGGATTTAGATCAGGGCCCTAAGGATCCCATTGAATCTCAATTCCTTCCTTAGAAATAATACAGCCACACCAGAAGCTGGAGCTTCAATATGAAAGTTTTGGAGGGGCTAAAAAGCATTCAGCCCAAGACACAGGAGTCAGGGTTTCAAGTGCACCCTGTGCTAAATGGGGACAGCTGAGGCCTGAGGGAGGGCTGTTGGGTCTTGGTGACTAGGCTGTGGATGCAGGAGCAGTTTCAGTGACACAGTGGAAGCTGACTTTGAGATGTTTGTGTTGTTTTGGGTCCTCCAAGAAACCACACCTGTGAGGGTG